AAAATGTTTGCTAAGCTTTAAAAAGTTCTGGGTGCTCTGTGGAGAATGGATGATAGAGGATCAAGAGAGGAAGTTGGGAAACTAGTGCAAAAGCTATTTACTCAATACATAGTTATCGAGAGCCTACTATATGCCTAACACTGCTCATGTTGGGGCTATAGCAGTGAACAAAACAGGAAAAATAATTCTGACTTCATGTAGCTTACATTCTAACAGGGGGTGGGATGTGCCATAAAAAAGACCAAAGAAAATAAATGAAAATACAGAGTATGTAAGATGATGGCAGTGCTAAGGAGAAAAATAAAGCAGGAGAGGGAAATGGGTAGCATGGCCAGAGGAAATCTCCCTAAAAGAGACATGAAGGCAGCTGTTGATGTAATCGAAGGAGGGATTATGCAAGCCTCCACGCAGGTTGTAGTAGTGGGTGAGTGAGTTCTGCACTGTTAGATTTTGGAGGCAGAACTGATCGGTCTTTCTGATGAACTGGGTGTGAAGAGGGGCATGAGGCGACGAGGTAAGCACGGATGATTGCTATGCTTTTGACTTCAGGAGCTGAGTGAATAAATCAAGAGGACTATTTGGAAATGTTAATTAGAAGATGTTGTTAGATACTAAGTGAAGATGTCACCTGAATTGCGAGAAAGACGGACTACAAAGCGGAAGTGAAGCTATTTTTTAATAATGCTCAACTCTTTATCTCCAGCCCGAAACTCCTAACCATGGTTGCTATGTCCTTCATCTGCAGCCCATGTTTACTTCTCTGGCCTCATTTTGTCCCACTTTCCTTTCACACACTGAACTCCAGCCATACTGGCCTTTAAAAAATCCTTATTGTTTATTATTTCTTATGCCAAGTATGCACTATCTCAGGGCATTTGTACCTTCTTTTTCTTCCCTTAGTCTTCCTAAGAGAGTTTCAGGGCTTACTTATTCTCGTAATTCTGGTCTTTGGCTCAAATCTCAGCTCTCTGAAGAGAGCTACCTGACTGCCTTAGATAAAAGCTGCACCCCCCCACCTTGCCAGTCATCCTGAAGTCTAGTCTATCACATTTTCCTGTCCTTTGTGGCACTTACTGCGATATTTGCTGGGGTTGGAAAGGAGGAGAGAATGCTTTGAGTTAAATATGAGATTAAAATGAATTGGACTGAGTCTTTAGGAATTGGAAAGGGGCCATCCTAACAGGCAAAAGTGACAGAAAAATTAGAGAACTGGATTAATTGCACAATTGGTAGTAGTGATTAAAAAAATAAAACCAACCCTTGATGGGTGGCACAGTTGGTTAGAATATCATCCCCAAAAGGTTGTGAGGTTGATTCCGGTCTGGGCACATAATCTAATATACTACTCCATGAAATGTTTTCCAATTTTTATAAATACTAAATGTAAATATTAAAATTGACTTAATCTATCTAGTAGATATTTAAATTAGCTTATTAATTTCCATTTTTATAATTTTTCACATTTATTCTTTCTCTCTCTGTTTGTGTATATAAATATACACATACCGTATATACAGGCCCCACATTTTAGTGACTGCAGGTCTAGACTAGAGTTTTCCAATAGAACTTCTTGCCATGATGGAAATATTCTTATCTGTGCTCTATAATATGGTAAACATTAGCCACACATGGCCACTGGTCATTTGAAATGCAGCTTGTATAATGAAGAAACTGAATTTTTGTTTTACTTACTTTATTTAACTTGTGACATAGGACTGGTGGCTATGGTATGAAACAGTGAAGAAACAGTGGACCTTGGGGCTTAATGGGTAAAAAGGCCTCAAGCCTGAAAGGTTAGAGCTCTCATTTAACTTTAAATTTCTGCTATTTTATTCAAGGTGAAGAGCTAAATAATGACAAACAAGGATATATTTTAAAAGCAACTTTATGCATATCACCAGGTTTACTGCAATTCAATAGGATAAATATATACTATTTATAATATACTGTCTAGAATCATGAGTACTCAAAAAACAAATAACTGAAACTACAATTCACTGAAGGTTTACTACATGCCAGGCAGTGTGCCAAGCATTTTATATAAATTACAGTAATTTTTATAAAAACCTCTTGCCCAGCTGGTGTGGCTCAATGGTTGAGAATCGATTCATAAACCAAGAGGTTGCTGGTTCGATTCCCAGTCAGGGCACATGCCTGGGTTGCAGGGCTGATCCCCAGTAGGGAAGAGGGCATGCAGGAGATAGCCAATTGATGATGTTTCTATTTCTCTACCCTTCTCACTTCCTTTCTCTCTAAAAACCAATAAAAACATATTAAAATCAATAATATTTTCACAATTTTATGATGAGTACTGGCAGAGAGTTTAAATTACATGTCCAAAGTTACACAGCTATAAAGTGCCTGAGCCAAGATCCCAACCTGGTTCTGCCTGATTCAAAAGCTATGCCTTTCAACCATAACATTATACCACTTCTCATATACAAATTGGAGGGTTGCTTTTCATAGAATAGTTTTCTTTAAAACATAGGATATATATATAAAATTCACTTCGTTGAAGGAGTACCTAAAGAGACGAAGGGATTTCAACGAAGCTTAAAGAGCAGGTAAGAGGTTTGTGTGACTTGACCATTGGCAAAATAGACCAGATAAAGGTCTCAGGTTAAGAAAATAACCATTTCATATATGAGCCCTAAAGATCAAAACATTGTACTTTGTTGGAATTGTTTTGAGATGGGCTACTTCTCACCAGGTTGTGCTTCACGAAGTGCTTCAGATAGGGAGTGGCAGATATATATATTTATTTAAAGATAATTAGTGATTCTCTCAAACAAGAGAGCTGGGCAAAAATGTGCTAAAGGTGATCTGAAGGAAGTGCAAGAATCTTAGTTAACAAAGATATAATCATCATTATTAAGATGAGTGAATTAAAATACTTTTCCGAACAATCCAATTAAAGACTTGCTGTTGTATAGCTGATGCCCTTCCCAAGTATTTCCTCTATCTCTGATCTCTCCTCTGAATTCCAGACTTATCTCATTTTTAGTTCAAATAAACATATCCAATACAGAAATTTGGGTCCCTGAGTCTGTTCTCCCCTGTCTTCCCCACCTTGTTTGGCAACTCTTAGTTCCACAGGTCAAAACTGAGGAATAATTTTTGGTTCCTCTTCTCTCAACCTTCATCCAAATCCATCTGGAAGTCCTGTTACATCTACCACCCAGATACATTTCAAATCCACCTACTTTTCTCCATTCTCACTGTATTTATCTAGTATAAACCACAATTACCTTTCCTTTGAGCTGGGACAAAAATCTGGTCTCCCTGCTTTTACTCTTGGTTCCCATATGGTAACTAGTAAACTTTTGAAAATATAAACCAGATTATGTCAGTCTTAAAATCTCCAAATGACTTCCAACACCCTTAGATACTCATCCAGCCATATCCTACAAGTCCCTAAAGGAGTTGGCTATGTTTATCCATCCAACCTTCTCTCCCACTACTCTCCCTCCTCATTCACAGTGACCTTCTTTCTGTAGTGACATACCAAGTTCAAGGGCTTTTCCACCTG